AGTATTTGGGCGTCCAGCTTATGTGCATGTATCTAGTGATCAGTGATCCAAACTTAATCCGAAATCAAGAAAATGCATTTTTCTAGGCTGCGTGAAAGGTGTAAAGGGTTACAAGTTTTGGAATCCAGAGGCAAGGAAGATGGTGATAAGTAGGGATGCAGTCTTTGACGAAGCATCCATGCTTAAAGCTTCTCCAGATAAAGAAAAGCTCAATTCAGACGATGGCAGAGATAAAAGCCAAGTGGTACAAGTAGAGCTAAACAATGTTAACACAGAAATTAATGCTCAGGGAGCGGATAGTTCTGGATCAGAGGTGGAGCAGCATCATAGTGTTGCCTTAGATCACGTCACACAATCAAGCCACCAACAAAATATGGATTAGATGATTCGGTTTCTAATGCACTTATTACCAGTAATAGCGATCCTATAATCTTTCAGGATGTCATTGATAGTCAGGAGAAAGGTAAATGGATATATTCTATGACGGAGGAAATTGAGTCACTACATAAAAATAATACTTGCGATTTGGTGGAGCTTCCAGAGGGAAAGAAACGATAGGGTGTAAGTGGGTGTACAGAAAGAGAGAAGCAATGTCAGAAAAGGAAAGAGAAAGATACAAGGCTCGATTAATAGCAAAGGGATACTCACAGAGGAAGGGAGTAGATTATGATGAAATTTTCTCCCCGGAGAACATACACACCTCCATAAAGATTGTTTTAGCAATGGTGGCTAATGTTGATTTGGAGTTATAGCAGTGGATGGGAAGACTGCTTTTCTTCATGGTGATTTGGAGGAACAGATTTTCATGGAGCAACCAGAAGGGTTCTTGAAATCAGGAACAGAGAATCTTGTTTGTAAACTGAAAAAGTATTTATACGGGCTTAAGCAGTCTCCACGGCATTGGTACAAGAAGTTCGACTCTCATATGATTCAGATTGACTACAGTCGTTGTGAGTATGAGTGTTGCATTTACTACAGAGTTCTTGATGATAGCTCATATATTTTTTTGATGTTGTATGTGGACAACATGCTAATTGCTGCTAAGAACGTGGACGAGGTAGACAGATTGAAATCTTTGTTGAGCAGTAAGTTTGATATGAAAGACTTGGGACCGGCTAAGAAATTGATATGAAAGACTTGGGACCGGCTAAGAAAATTCTTGGCATGAAGATCAACAGAGATAGGAACGCCAGAAAATTATGGGTATCTCAGAAAAATTATTTGAAGAAAGTGTTAGAGAGGTAGGTTTAGCATATCAGATGCAAAACCAGTTGCTATACCATTGGCAAATCACTTCAGATTGTCTAATAATCAGTGTCCAAAGAATGAAGAAGAAATTGCAGAGATGTCAAAAGCAACTTATGTCAGGACAGTTGGATGTTTGATGTATGCAATGGCATATACCATACCAAATCTAGCACATGCAGTCAGTGTGGTTAGTAAGTATATGGCTAATCCTAGTAGAAGGCATTGGAGAGTTGTAAAGTGAATTTTCAAGTACTTTAAAAGTACAATAGAGTGCGGGATCATGTTTGAGAGAGAACGCGGTGATATTTCAGTTCAAAGATACGTAGATGCAGATTATGTAGGGGACTTGGATAACAGAAGGCCCCATACAGGTTATGTTTTCACACTCGCAGATGGGCCCATATGTTGGAGATCAATGGTGCAGTCACTTGTGACATTATCTACATCTGAAGCAGAGTTCATGGCGGCAACTGAGGCAGCCAAGAAATTATTGTGGTTGAAAGGGCTTGTCAGGAAACTTGGGATCAACCAAGATGGAATGAAGTTGTACTGTGATAGTCAGAGCGCCATCTTCCTAGTGAAGAATCAGATTTATTATGCAAGAACCAAGCACATTGATGTAAGATTTCATAAGATAAAAGAATTGGTTACTTCAGGAGAGCTGTTGTTAGAGAATGTGCATATCTCAAAGAATGAAGCAGATGTGATGACAAAGCCAATCATAATGGACAAGTTCAAGTATTACTTGAACTTGATTAATATCTCTAGGTTTTAGAGAGGATGTGTCTCGACCCACTGGTCCTAGATGGTGTGGTTTTCCAGATTATGTTTTCTCCTAAGGGGTGAATATTCATCAAAGTGGAGATTGTTGTACATGTGGCTCATATAGAGTAGAACACAAGTCCTGGATCAAATAGGGCGATGCCGGAGCAGAGCGATGACATTGGCCTGTGCGGGTGTAATTCACTATCTAGTTGTTTGGGACGCTGAATAGGTTGGGGTGTGGGGACAATGCCCCCGCAGTACGATATACGTATATTTCTTGTACGGGCCTTAAAGTCTTATATGGGTCCAGGTTAAGGTTAGTATAAATAATATGTTGTAACCCTATTTTTACTACTGAATAAAATTATCTCCGCTTCGCTGTCGTGGACGTAAGCACACCGCCGAACCACATAAATTCTTGTGTTGATTTTTCTTCTCGTCTCTTTATTATTGCGCATAAAATCCAACAGTGATGAAACTATATTAGGAAGCATAACTAGGGGTCGAGCCACAAAATTATTTAGTGCATGAGGGATTTAATAAAGGTCAAAAAAAAAAAAATTAAAAATGTAAGAACACAACATTTCCTACAAGAAATTTTAAGAAAAAAATCTCTCCATGACCAAAACGAGCAAGTGATAATTAGAAAAGCATTGTATCAAATTCACCAAGTTCACCAAATAATGTAAAATACTTATTATAAATAACAACATTCAAAAAATTAAAATGCACTTATTTAACATTACTTGAGCAGTGGATAAATTAACATAGAACTATTTTTGTGTAGCAACATGATAATTTCCATCGGAGCTGCACTTACAGGTTATTGCTATTTCACAAATTGTAGCATGTTCAGTCGGTGCCTAGATTTAACATAAAAGGAAAAACAGAAAACAAAAAGAAGAAATAAAAGGAAAAGGAAAAATTTGAAAAATCCACCCCCACATGCAATTGCTTGACTAGTTACAGGTTACAGAAATGGGCTAACTAGTTATGAGGATTGGGCTTGGGCTTGGGCTTGGGCTTGGGTTGGGTGGTCTAAATTTTATTTTGGACTTGGCTTTACAAAAATTCTCTTGTTACATATTTAATGGTGGAGCTGGGCTTAGACTGCCCTGGCCCAGGCCAGCCTTCCCTTAGATTCCGCCACTGCTTCCCTGCTATTATTCATCAAATTATTTTTCCACATTTTGAAATGCATCAAGTAGAACTATGATAGATCTCCTATTCATTATACATATACGTGCAAGGGAAAGAAGAAGGATGGTGCCGGCATGGTAAAGAATCAAAGGGAAAAGCTGTGGGCTGCACCAGTCACTCAGCTCCGAAAGGTACTGTTGGTGGTTAAAAGAAGCAGTTACAGGAGGTATTTGGGTATTTCAGTTAAAAAGTGGTTGGCTAGTTTCGTATTTTGGTTAGGAAGCAGTTGGCACCAAGAACAGATAGGCAATGGTAAGCTTAGAGAAGGGGGGGAAATAGGAGTTTTGTAGGAGAGAACCTACCTCTCAAGAGTTGGTGCCATCCTTGTAATGTCATTTTCATATTTGCAGTGATCTGTAATACAATTCTTTCATTTTCATATCAAGAAATAAAGTAACATACAGAGAGGATCTCCTCTCCATTTCCATCCGTTTCTTTTTGAACGGTATTTCCATCTGTTTCTTTCATTCAATACATACATAACAACCTATTACACAACAGATATCTATCACACTACACTACTATGTTTTCCAGGTGTGCTTCTCTATACGTGCTCAAGGATGTTATATATTCTAAGTCTTTATAACCCTTTTCATCTAGATGTTTTCATGGTGCACCAAATAGCATGACTGTGTATAGGTAATAGTGGATACCCCACGCTCCCAACCCCAAGTCCAACAGCAATAAGCTGGCAATCTCCACATGGACAATCACATGTGTGAAGTGCAGGTGGTTTTCGTAAAATATTGCGTACATATCATTCCCCCCACAATGTACCATCAAAATGTGGGCATTTCAACTCTTCACATAATAAAAAATTTGAATACAGAACTAAATCCTTAACATATAATGCATTGAAGTATACACTAAACTGCAATAATTTTTTGCTTGATTTTCACCTATCTTTTGATGTAAGAGGACATTAGGTACATGTTACTGGACACACCGCACAGTTCAACAAACATAATTCGTGTGAAGTGCAGGTGGTTTTCGTAAAATATTGCGTACATATCATTCCCCCCACAATGTACCATCAAAATGTGGGCATTTCAACTCTTCACATAATAAAAAATTTGAATACAGAACTAAATCCTTAACATATAATGCATTGAAGTATACACTAAACTGCAATAATTTTTTGCTTGATTTTCACCTATCTTTTGATGTAAGAGGACATTAGGTACATGTTACTGGACACACCGCACAGTTCAACAAACATAATTTAACTTATTTTTGCTTCTTTCATCCTATCTAATGCAGTTCAATCCAACCCATCAAACATGCCATTAAGTATCTTATTAAGTGAACTTCAGTATATCAAAGGTGTTAACAATATTTTTATAATCTTTTCTAAAGAAATAAGAAAAAAGGCCCTCAGAACAGCCGGGCTTCCAAACATGTTCCAAGTGGCTGTCAGTTTAGAAATTGGATTTACTCATTTACGTTAACCTGTTTGGTTTAGCTTAAAAAGTTGATAAAAATCCAAGTCAACAGTTAATTTCAATTGAACATTCCATAGGACCCAAGTCTACTAAAAATCTAATTTTAGCAAAACCAAAAGGGGGCTAAACAGGAACACATATTATCACCTAATCTTTCCATGCTCACATTTTCTAAAATTCAAATACAAAAATAAACCACCCTCGTTATATTAATTTATGAAAGGCAACATGCTCATTAATCGTTACACCCTGATAAGAGTTTTGTAATCTAATCGATCAAGAAATAACGTGCATAAAATAATTCTAAAAATTTCATAAGTTATTCAAAGGGATTAGCATGATTACCCGTGAAACATTAACAATGAATCCAAAATTATCGACAAGATTTCCAATGTCATTGTCCACTCTTTGCAAAAGGGTCTTTTGCTTTTGGGCTGCCGCTGCTGCCGCCGCAGCAGTTGGTCCGGCTCCACTGCCTACGCCGGCTCCACTACCCAGTCCCACTCCTCCTTTGTTCATTATAATACTCTTACTCAAATTACAGTATCTTTCGCTGCATATGAAGAACTGTTGATTACAAAGCTATAACATTAAGGGGGAAAAAGGTCAGAAAGACAACCTACAAACTGAGCTTGAGAATACTTTAAAAGCCATTGTGAAAAAAATACTTTAGGCCAATGTTCAATGTTTTAGGTTTAAAAGGCCTTAAGTCCATTTCATAATAACTCAAACCCTTAGATAGAAAATATCCTTGCTTGGAAAAGTCTTAATACCCTTGCCTAAAATTAAAAGCCAATATTTTTCTTAAACCACGTGCTCATTTCTTGCCAACTTTACTAGTGGTCTCCACTTCCCATGATTTCAACAAGTCTGTAAAATTTGGGAACCAACAGAAAAAATAAAAATAAAAATTATCAAACACTGTCATCAAATAAAAAAGCTCCACCACTTCTCCTCCATGGAGCATGCACCAATTATTGTAGACTACGCCTACAAGTTTCTCTTACTCATTTCATCAAGCCAAATGCATTTTCAAGTGACCCATCTTTGACATAAGAATGATGTTATTCATAGTGAAAATTACATATAGTTGTCCTACGTGGCAAACACGTGGCACTTTGTATGCATTGATATCATAGTTTTGTATTGCCTCATGCGTCAAATAACAAAGCGACTGTATGTGACGACTACCAGTAGTCTATGAATAGCATTAGTCTTGAAATGAATGCTAACCAAGTTAGTTTCAAAAAATGAGTCAGATTCGTTTAGTAATGTTCTTACATAGGGGTGAATCCATAGACAATTGATGGGAGTAGGTGCATGATTCAATCAGGGGCGAAACAGTGTTGGGCCTTACCGTGAATCTCTATAGTGCTATAAATTAATCCTTTAAAATGTGCTTATATTTCAATTCAATTTAATTGCAAACAACTCATTTTGCAAAAAAATAATAATAGTAATAATAAATACATAAATAAAATAAGGATGATAAATTGCAGTAATAGGTCTAGATCAACAAACACAATCCAAGAATTTAGTTTCAAAATATGAAACACAACTATCAATAAAATTTGTAACGTGAAAAGTTCCAAAAATCAAGAGTAAATCTAATTTTATAAATAAAATAAACAACATACACCGATTATAAAGGGGAAATTGAAGAAGTACCGGGGAGATGGTCCTAGGGAAAACTAAAATCAGGTTGGAGATCACTCTCCGATGAAGAAATTCGAATTCCGAATCGTTTGGCTCTTCTCTCACTCCAATCGAAGTATTTGAACTGTTTAATCACCACCTACTTCCTCGATCTGGTATTCAATTATTCCAAAATTTCCTTTAATTTCTTCTTCCCTGTTCGATTTTCTGTATCTTCAAAAGCTTTTTGAGCTCTATTTGTTCTTTTCAATTGCCGATTTAGTACCCACGCACTCAGCGTGTAAGTGTGTGCTTTCGTGAGGGAGAAGAAAGAGAAATAGGGAAATTTTCTTTATAAAGATTTTAATTTTTAGCCCGTGATACAAATCTTTCCAAAGCCACTCAACTTATACCATGATTATGACTACTCAGTGAAATTTAGTCCCTATTTGGCTCTCATTATAATTCTAATTCTAATTCTAATCTAAATCTAATTCTAATTCTCATTCTCATTTTTTTCTCTCTCTCTTATTTTCAAACACACAATCTTCCATAAAATAATATTACACGTAAATCAAAAATTTTTCATTCTTTTTCAACCACACATTATTCAAAAAAATATTATTCCCACCATTAAAATTTGACAAGAATGGGGGCCAAACGGGGGCTTAATTTGCTTCGCGATACGAGTAAAGTTTCAATATTTGCACTCCATCCATCAATATCAAAAAAATCGTTAACACTTTCGATGACGCGACAGACAGAATTGTGATATGGCAAGTAACTACCATTAAAATAACGCTGATGTAGATATGGAATTCAAATCATACATAAACGTGTCTCATGTGTCTTTTAAATAGGACTAAATAAAACTCTCGGACCGAATCAAATACCACCCGAACTTAATCGAACCAAGCGGTTCTTTTTAAATTAAATACCCGAACGATTATCTGAATTGAGAACCGACGGGTTCGATTCGGTTCCCGATTTTATATCAGAACCGAATCTCTCCAATTTTTTTAATTAATTTATTTTAAATAAGTCAATTTTTTTTAAATAAATTTGATAACTAGTTAATTTAATCAAAACCAAAAATATGATTTTTTTTTCCTATTTTTAATTTCCATTTCAAAGCTAATTTAATCAAATTGATCTAAATTTCATCCAAATTTATTACTCTACCATAGTATCGTTTATATCGTTCTAGAGAAATCAAATTAAAATTTGACAATGCCTCTTTTAATTATTTTGAGTTTGCTATCTTTCTCTTCCTGTGATTTTAACAATCAAATCTATGAAGAACTCGGTAAAAAAAGATGCAAAAGACACATAAGATTTGGATTACGTTATTTTGTAAGAGCTAAAATTGAACATATCCTTAGTTGAATTAATGTAATGTAGCTGGCCATATGTTTGGTGATTTTTTATTGGAATCATTTGAGTTTTAGTTGTTTTGAGATGGTATAACCAATTATACTAACATATGACTAGTTCTGTTGAGTTGCAGGCCTTTCGCGTTCCGTAGGATGGGCTAACCAACAAACCTCCGAGCAGAATTCAATATTGTCCAAAATGTCTTCACACATGCTAAATGCCCATAATAATAGGACTTTCGTGTCCAATTTGACCCAGAAGCTTCAGACATGTTCATGCTAACATGGGGAAATATATTCGCAATGAAAAAAAAAAACTTATCATCGAAAGTAGATACAAACTATTGCCATCGCTCTGTGCTGTGAGTGACTTTTGAATTAATCACATGAGTAACCGAACTTGGATGAAATCTCCTGGGAGGATTTAGGGGAAATTGAGGATTCGAAGATTTTGTAGGTGTGGGTGGTTGGGAAATAAATAGGTGGTCAACGACACATGAGTTTGTTTCAAATTTTTTTTCTAGATTCAACAAATCGCATCTTAAAAATCACACATGACATGTTTTTGTATGGCTTGGATTCCATATTTGCATTGGCATTATTCTAATGGCAAATACTTGCAATGTCATGATTCCGTCTGCCGCATCATTGGAAGTGTTAATGATTGTTTTGACAATGATGGATAGAGTACAAACGGAGAAAGTTTAGTTAGCATCGCGAAACAAATTAAATTTAGTGAACAATCTGTGACCATGGTATAAGTTGAGCGATTTTTTAAACAACTAACTCCCGTTTCAAACCTATATTGGAAAATTTAGGGAAAATTGCAACAGCAGTCCCGAACCTTTGAATTTTTTGCAAACTTTACTTTAACATTCAATTTGTGCCACCAAAAGTCCCAAACCTTCTGAAAATTAGCACATGGAGTACAAAATGATGAAAACCGTGAGTTCCACCGTTAGTTGACCTGAAAAATAAAATAATTGGATACTTTGACTAATTTAAATATGGGCAATTTCATCATTCATATATTAATATTTAAAATGATTAAATTGAAACAAAAAAATCACCCCACCCCCACTCTACTATACCTACGCCCATACCCCCACCTCAAAAATCAAGATCAGCTTAATTCGATTCATTTCCCATTCTAAATTAATTTTAACAAGGTGTTTTAAACATCTGATTGATCTGTTGTTGTAGCATTGATGCTCCGGATTTTCGCATTTTTCAACCATAGAGGCAGAGATGGTCGATTAGCTTATTGTCTAGCTCCGAAGACGTCTCCTCAATGGCTACAAGTTTCGTCCACTCCGTCTCGTAATCTTCAAAACATTGTGGACAAAATGATGTTTTTTGAGCAAAATCCAAACTCTCAAATACTTGCCTTGTTGAAGGGGGAGGTGAAGTTGGGACATTTTTCAATGGATTCAAAATTTCCACTGGATTGCTCATAAATCTCTCCGTTCCAACCCTAAAAGCACAAAGTTCACAACTAAGTAATTACTTGTAACAACACGATCTTAACCATTCTCTCCCAAGAAACTAGGAGTCACAAAAATGATAAATATGGAGAAAATCTAGGTTCCTTTCATATACATGTACTTCAACTACCAAATCAAGAATGAGAAAGACCATTTTTTTGATCTACCATGCAAAGAATAATTCTTGGAAGAGATTATATAATGGGTTTTCTTTAAGATCGTAACGAAAATGGCATTTTTAAGTTTTCTTTAAATATTTTTTTTTACTTAAAATATTATACAACTGAAATAAAAATGAATTTTACCATAGAATTAGATAGATATCATAATTTATTTTTACAACACATTAATATGTCAAAAGAAGGAAAATTAATATAATAAATAACAATTAAAAAAATGATAAAGGCATGTCTTTCATGTTCTCACACATTTTGAACTTTTCTCTAAAATTTCAATTTGTAGGAGCATCTCGGAAAGACCTCGATAGCCCCATTTGGTAGTGATTTTTCACCCAAAAAAATTGATTTTTTAACCGTTATTTCACTATTCTAGCCATCATTTTTTATTTTTTTCACTCACATGTGGTCTCCACTTTTCTCCCTAACAGTTAAAAAATCAATTTTCAAAATCACTACCAAACAGACCTTATATATAAAGAGGATCTTATATATAATGGAGAGCATTTTTTTAAATTTTAAATTTCAAAAAAAAATTCATTACGAGTATAGCTTCCATTTGGCCCCATTAAAAATTATAATACATTTTTCTTTCTTCTTCTCAATCACACATTTTTCAATACAATAATATTACAAATAAATCGAAATTTTTTTCTTCTTTTTCAAGAAAACACTACTCAGGGGTGGATCCAACACCTGACGAGCACATGCGGCTGCACGTGCAGAATATGTCTGGAAGAAAATTTTTTATTGACAATAGAAAAAACACTTAGATTATATATGTGATAATTCATTTTATTTCACAAATGTCTTTGATAACTCAATTGCTAAAGTTTCAAAAATCAAATTGGAAGTCTTGGGTTCGAAACTCTTCAATAGCAATTTATTGTGTAATTTTTGTATTTTAACAATTTTTACCAATACTAATGAAAGGAAGGGGATTCGAACCTGTAAGCCTTGAGCCATATTGAAAGCTTGACCATCATGTCGCTGATTTTTGATACTGAATGTAACGCGATATATATGTATATATATAATTTTTACTAGTTTTAATGCTAGTAGAAAGACTTTATTTTGTGCTTAGTCCATCTTCTTGATTTTTATTCTCTGATTAATTGATTTGAGAGTTGATCAATTAATGATAGATGAGTTTGTAGGAAATTGGCCTTAGTGTATCAAGGAGTCTTCAACAAAACTTATTTACGAGGTTGTCCTCAATTAATGTTTTGATGGATTTCAAAAGATTATAAATCCTAATGAATTTCTTGGATTTGAATAGATTTCCACAAATTCCATAAAAATTCCATTAAATATTGTGAAATTTCAAAAAAGTTTGATTATATATATTTTTAAGCCTGAAATCTATCCAAATATTTTAAAATCCCCCTATTAATGAAAATTTTATAGATCTACTAATTATTGAAAATACCTAAATTTTAAAAGATTTTATTGAGTTTCAATAAAATCTCAATTGGGAACACCTAAATTTTAATGGATTTCATTAAAATCTATTAAAACCTTAGCTAAGGACAGTTAAATTTAAAGGGATTTTTAAAATCCATCACAATCTCTATTGAGGACAATTCCTTAATTGATAGAAGGTTCCACTTTCATTTACAAAAAAATGATTGCGGAAAAGTGGGATTACACAAACACATAACATTGATATAATCACATCGTCTAAACTTGCAAGCATATGTAAAATATTAGATAGCGGAAGAAGTAATATATAGTTGAGAAGTAAAATTTGTGTATGTCCAATAAATAATCTTATAAATATTAAATGTGTTTAAATGTAGTGATGAATTTTGATATTGTTATTGTGTATACAAAAATAAAAAAAAATTAATTCTATTTTAAGAAATTTAAAATTATTTCCATAAAGTTTAACCAATTTATTTTGTCTTGTTCGACAAGTCATTTTCCAAAAAACTCTAGTTTTCAATCACACATTAGATACGTAATCGTTATATTTAATTTTAGGCATTGTTTGATTTTCATTATTTTAAAATACATTTTTTTCTCTTCTTTTAAACTACACATTCTTCAATAAGATAATATTACTTGAAAATTCAAAAAAAAAATCTCTACTTTTAACCACACATTTTCCATCAAATCACTATTCAAAAATACAATTTTTTGCAAAAAATGGACATCAAATGGGCTGTTAATATTTTATTACCGTCGACGGTTGACGGTTAACAGTCACCAGTGTTGACTCAATTGCCTGGATTCGCCCCTGAAACTACTCCAAAATTTCTAATACCAAATAATAGGGGCCAAACAGAGGAACCCCGTTTGATATGGATTAAAATTAGATTTTTGGTAAATTTTGAT